TTTAGACCCCTCTGAGTTTAAACGTGTCATTTTAACTTGTTTGATTTGATAAACACAAGTCGAGCTTGGGTGCCAAAACAAAAACTAGTAGCTAAACTGTGAAAAGAATAAATGTTATCCTGAAATATACCAAATGGTGCACCGGTGTTCAGTCAGGTCATCTGGATGGTTTCTGGGGTTTATTTGGCGAGACGTTTTGTCCTTCATCCAAAGGACTTCATCAATCCGAGGAGCCACAACACACCGAGTTCCAAAAGCAGCAAACCCACATAGTACACCAACCAGATTGCTGGTGATGAGATGGTTTCTGGGGTCCCCCCTCTCCCCTGAGGCAGCCATAGCCAAAGTGGATCAAAACATCAACGTTCATGCGCAATAATCCAGGTGGAAAATCCAACAAGGTTCAGTCAGGTCATCTGGACGGATTTGTTTTTTTGTTATTGTTGAGATGTTTCGTCCTTCATCCAAAGGACTTCATCAGTGTGAAGAGCCACAACAATCTCAGTCCCACAAGCAGCAAACCCAAATAGTGGACGAACTAGTTTGCTGGTGATAAGATGGTTTCTGGGGTCCGCTCTCTCCCCCGTCGTCTCCTCTGTGGCAGCCATAGCCAAAGAGGTTCAGAAACTGTCCAGATGACTTGACTGAACTTTGTTGGATTTTCTACCTGGATTATTGAGCATGAACTCTGATACCAAATGGTGCCATTTAAAAAAAGTTTACTGCAGTTGTTTTCAGGATGTATTGATATGTAATCCTAAAAAGCAGACATACACCCAATGTAAAACTAAGTGTTTTTATCTGGATAGTTTATTCAACAAATCTGAGCACTCATTTGCACCAGTGCATCAAAACCGTCATCTCCATGCTACACAGCTCTTCTGTGGTTGGTATTGATCACCCATTTCCAGTCACTTTGGCTGTTTCCACAGGTAAAGAAACGCGTCAGAAGGACAGAGTCACAAACTTTGCCTACAACATTTTCATTCAGAGACATTTTAATCATGAATATGGTTTTTAAAAACTACATTTTTATTAGTTTTTTGGATCCAGTGTTCATGGCGTTGGCATAAGTGCCTTTACGGTCAAGGCTCTTTATTGTCAATCGCATCACATGTGGTACATGAGGTGGAACGAAACTGTGTACACAGGGTCCCAGTTACATCCAACAAAAGTATAAAATTTACGTAAAAGTAAAACCGTAATAAGATCTACGATATGAACTAAGAAATATGACAAAATAAAACCTGATAGAATGAGAATCTGATCAGATCCTTAACACATATTCAGCAAGACTACATCTTCTTTCATTTCTCTGTTTTTTGCATCCTCTGTTCTCACTCCAACTACATCCATGTCCTCTCTAACTGCATCCATACATCTCCTCTGACTTTTACCTGCAGCTGTATTTCTAACATCCTTCCACCAATATACCCACTGTCCCTCCCATCTCAGTCTGGCCTCTCTAACTTGATCTCCCAGTTGTTCAACCAGTGCTGTACCTCTGATGATCTCATTCCTAATCTTCTCCCTCCTAAGGAGAACCTCAACATCTTCATTTCCACCACTTACAGTTCTTTCTCCCGTCTTTTTGTCAAGGCCGTACAACATAGCTGGTTTCACGTCTTTTGTAAACCATTCCTTTGACCTTTGCTGACACCCTTTTGTCTCAAATCACCCCTGAAACTTTTCTCCATCCTCTCCATCCTGCCTGGTCTCGCTTCTTCAACTCATTGCCACACTCCCCGTCTTCCTGGACAGCTGGCTGAGTACTTGAAGTCCAGCACCTTTGTGACCTCTGCTCCTTGTAGCCTCACTGTTTCACCTGCCTCCCTCTCAAATTGCACCCAACAATACCTAATGTGCAATATCTGTGCCTATAACTATGGCAGTATCAGCTGGTGTCAACCCTGATAGCCAAATATCTCATGAACCACTGAATGGATGTTACTGAAGGACTCATAAAGCAAAATGACCACAACTAAATCAACCATATATTGCACAAAAACAGCCAAAACTCAGTTTAAGTTTACAGATATTGAGCTAAACTTGGGCTAGTAGAAGCTGTGCCACAATACATTCTCCAAGCACAACATCTATTTCATGCGACTGCACATGAGGCCACGAACAAAGTTTGACCAAAACAGCTACAATTCCAACCCTTCACAGCATAAAAGGCATTACTTTAAGGAATGTTCGGCTGTTTTTCTATATGCTAATCTCGGTTAGTAAAAACAAGACGAAGCTGCAATATAGATGGACATCTACATATATTTGGAACTAAACCAACCCTGTTCATAAAGGATGCGCAGAAGGTAATGGGAAAAGAAAGAAGTGATAAAGTTTCAATTCTTAGCATTCAGGAAATTCACCCATGTCTTTCGCCTACATAAAATCTCCGGTTCATTTCACTCAGTTCAGAATAATTTTAGAAGAAAGAGGCTTTATTGCTCAGAATTCTTTCGGTCCAACCTGCACAATATTACCATTGTTTCACCGCCCAGGTGACTGGAGCGCACTGTCCTGCATGTTTCATTTGTTCCCCTGCTTCAGCGCACCTCTTGACGCCGATAACCGGCGTCTGCCGAACACTTCTAGAACGTTAAATTAAAAATCTGTGAGCAGAATTTACGACTGAACACAAACTACTAGGGATGCACAACATTGGATTTTTGGCCAATATATGTTGACATGTTAAAACTGATTTGGCCGATAACCGATATAAAAACCGAATTATTTATTTTTTCCCTACACCTACTTACAGAGACTACACATCTTTCTCTGCTGTGGAATTAAAAAACACATTATTCTGAACGGTCTTTGGCAGTTTGGCCACGCTACCAAAAGCAGATGACAAAAATGGGGCTGAAAATGATGCAACACTTCAACTTGGATTATGTTTAATGTCATATTTAGTCATGACATTTACTCTCTCGAACACAATGACAACACAAACAGTGCAAATTTGCACATTTTCACAAAACTAAACTCAACGGCGTGCATGATGTCATAACGTTGTGCTGGCACGGCATGTATTCTTGCATGACAACCCAGTGGCCGATGTCCAATATTTAACTTTATCGCTAACATCGGCCGATACCGATACAATGCAGATAATATCGTGCATGTGCGTTTGTTTACCTATGGAAGAAAAAAAAAAAGGACAGAAAATCACATGACTCGAGCTTCCATGTGTTTTTTTGGTGGATGCAGACAAGTGCTTTGTTTGTATTGAATGCGGACCCACATTTTAGAATTGCGAGGAAAAGCGTGCACCATAGCTCTGGATAACCTTTATACGTTTGATTTTAGACTTTGCAATGAATACCTTTGATTTTGTTTTGTTTTTTTTTAACCCAGAACAGCTCTCATTTGATGCTACTGGAAGTGAGGCGTCTTTGTCCCTACTTTGACATTAAACAGCGTGGAGGAGAGCGATGCTGGCCACAATGTAATCTTACAGTAAGCAGCCAGAAGTGAATAATTGATACGCTTTGCGCAAGTGCGCCCTGAGCGCTGTGTGAAATCAGTGGAGCCATTACCATGAAGGTACAACAGCACTGTCCTATAAGAACAACAGAGCCTTGTTTACTTTGTGCTGCTTCTTGGAACAGATTCACAGACTTGCTGCAAGACAATAAAAAAAAAGGCACAGTGTATCTAAGACAGCAGATCAAACTGGATCAGATAATCCACTAAAAAAGAGACAAACCCTGTCATTCTCAGCAGCAGGAAGCTCAGGCAAAGAAAAAGGTCCATGAAGCCGGAACACGTTCAAGTTAGTGATTCATTTTTATACACCCCATGCGCAAGGATTTATATGCAAGAAGACAATGGTGCTCAGTGGTTAAACAGTTAAACATTGACTTTTTTTTTTTTTTTTTTTTTTTATAGCGCAAGGCTTTATCCGGTGTCAGTAAATAGATGAGGTTGTTCCGCAGCCCGCCAACTCACGAGCACATTCTGAGGCAAAAAGCGTCAAAAATCCCGCAGTCTTCAACCCAAAGACAGCTGATCTGGAGCCAAACCCGATTCTTATAACCGTCTAAACTCACATCACAACACCCGAGCGGCAGCTTTCATGTTTCCATGCACCGTGCTTCTGCAAAAGATCCGGTTAAATTATTTGAATTTGTAAAAAAAAAAACAACTCAGGAATGCGTCTCGTCCACCGTGATTTATCATGCATTAGAAGGCTGTTAAAGACGGCGTGCTCCTATTTATTCAAGCTCTTCATTTCGGCTCGCGTTTTAAAAAAAAACAAATTAATCAAACAGTTTGCTCCGTTGATCGTGAGCTGCCCGACTGTCTCTCCCTACTGCTGAACGCGTTGGAAAAACTTCAATTAAGCACGCGCAAGTGCACGTTTGCGCGCTGATTTTTGCGCCGAATTGTTGGAACGGAGAAGCATTTCACCACGACGTAAGATCATTGTCCTAGCTTGCGGGGATTTCCAACCCCGCACGGATAAAGTTAAATTATGAAAGTTGTGCATGGAGTTTGGTGGAGAGCTGCTGCATAATGCACTTATTTACGCACTGCTGCTCTCTGTGATTTACAGCGGAACATACAAGTAAAGTGACCACACCGACACAACAGAACAGTTGGGTTTTTTTTAGCAAGCCATAGTCGAAGTCAATGTGTGCCATTTTATTTGTCTTTATAAGTGATTGTTCTTTAGGAGTTGCAGCTGTGGCGGTTTTAGCCTATAGCCAAATAAATGTTGAGCTGTCCAAAGTGATGTATCGGCTGGGCAGCGTTCCGCTTCTTTAGACCTCAAACCTGCGTTTCCTGCTCTCCCTTCCAACTTTTACTGCGAGCTTTTCCTACTTGGTGAACAACATCACCGAGACCCGCACGCTCTGCCGCGCACGTTCAAAATCAAACACACAAAAAAATATAAAGGGATAAAAGAGGCGCTCCTCCACATCTACACACACGGAAATGTGCGGAGACAAAAAAAGGCGTATTCCGTCCACACGTGCACGCAGAAGTCCTACCTTTGAGAAGAGCCGCCTGAGAGATGAGTAGAAGGAGAATAGTCGCGAGAGAGCCGCTGCCAGCGCGCGCCATGTTGGACACCTGCTTCAGTATGGCAGAGGAGGCTGCTGCACCTACAGCAGGACTCGGGTAATGAGATGCGGAGCGGGAGGGAGGGCTCGCTCCCCGGCGTCACTGGGGTTTACGTTTATACAGTTTTAGAATGACTCTAAGAAGGATTCTTTTCTGCAGGAGTTGTTTAATAAAGAAAAAAAATGACTTGTTTTAGCGTCTCAGTTCAATTCATCCACCTGTTGTGTTGAGTGCCAGGGCCGGCTGTAGATTTTTGGCGGCCTCAGGGCTACAGTTGGACACATGGTGGGACTTGTCAGGAATAATTGGGGATAAAAATGGAATATAAGAGTGAAGGTTGACCCTTAATGGGGGACGTTAAATATTTTTCTTCCGGCTGCTTTTTTTTTTCTGTGGAGCAAGACTTTTATGTAAGGGTGGCTTTTTCAGGAAGGTGT